TTATTGTTAATCGCATGAATCGGAATATCGGGTTAATAATTAGAACAGTGGTAGAAGAGCCTTTGTGGTATTAACATAGGAATATAGTTAATCTCTTAGGTAGCCATTATTGAGATTTGTGCTTAATGTTGTGTTCTAGAATTAATTGCATAGGAATATAGTAATTGAATCTAGAGTATTAGAATCGTCATACACGCGGAAGCGGGTTATGATTTAATTAGCATCTCAGGTTAATAATCCGGGTTAATTGCTTGCATAATTGGAGGAATTGGGGGAATAATAATCACATAGGGGGAAGAATAAAATCCTAGGCTTGTTTTCATTGATTAAATCTTCGTTTTAATTGCTTTCTTGTTTTTTTTGTCTTTTTAATTGCTTTAGTTTAATTTAGCTTATTAATCATCTTTCGACTGTGTAGGGTGGGCTTGATAACAATTGATAGAATTTAGCGTCTAGGATTAGATAATTAAATATTCCGTGTGGGTTCGATATCCGGACTTTTAGTCCACTATATTACTTGTACGATACGCGCACTTGCGTGTAGGTTTTCGGCCAACAACAATCGAGCTACTGCTCTTTAATTGTTTTTCTTGATATTCCAAATAGTATATGGAGTATTTAAAAAGCAAGATAAGTCTCCCACAGAGTTCTCCACATTAATGATTGAAGATGAAACGTGCTTTTTTAGATAAATTTAAAATATTAATTTTTGAAATTACAAATTAACTTTTAATACCCTTGCTTATTTGTAATCTTCCATAGAGCCTTGTGCTTCTCCAATTTGTCCGAACTCGCAGCTTTTGTTAAGATATTAGCTGGTTGGTCACTTGTGCCAATGAACTCCATACGTACTTCTTCATTGTTAACCAAGTCTCTTATATAATGGTGCCGAAGTTCGATATGCTTGGAACGAGCATGAAAAACTGGACTTTTGGCCATTGATATAGCAGATTTATTGTCGCAAAAAATCACCGTTGCCTCCTTTTGTTTAAGTTGTAAATCGGCAAGAAGTCTTCTTAGCCAAAGCGCCTCACATGCCGCATCAACCGCTGAAATGTATTCCGCTTCGGATGATGAAAGAGCAACTGTTTTTTGCTTTCTTGAGCTCCATGAAATCACGTTTGAGCCAAGGCAAAAGATATACCCCGATGTACTTTTGCGATCATCTAGAGCGCCCGCCCAATCACTATCCGTGTAGCCAATTAAATTGCACTCTTTCTCCTTCTTAAACAAGATACCTTGATGCTTAGTTCATTGGAGATACCGAAGTATCCGTTTCGCCATTGCATAATCATTTGAACTTGGATCGTTCATGAATCTAGACATAACAGTACTTACCGGAAAAGCAATATCAAGCCTTGTGTAAGTAAGATAAATGAGTGATCCAACTAAACTTTTGAAAATAGTAGCATCCACTTTTCCTCTCTGCCATTGCTTTGAAGTGGAGAAAAACCGAAAAAGCTTCCGATTTTTCTTGCAAAAAATACACCCACATCATTCTACTAAAATCGTCAATAAAAAGAATGAAATACCTTTTTTGGTTGAAAGTTGGAGTCCGAATAGGACCACAATATCAGAGTGAACCAATTCGAGAGGAGCTTTAGCACACCAAGAGGTTTTCGGAAAAGGTAACCGGTGTATTTTTCCAAACGTAGCCTTCACACACTTTCTCTGCTTTATTGATATCCGGGAGCCCAATGATCATTTTCTTTTGCTTCAAAATATGCAGCCATTTCATATTCAGATGTCCGTATCTCAAATGCCAAAGATAAGAATCACGAACTTCTTCGGTTTTCAACGCCAATTCTGGATTAGATGACTTTATTTTCAGTCATATAGACTTCAGCCACAATCATATTCTTTTTCTTGTCAAATATTACTCCCTTGTCATCATCAAAGGAAATGGAATATCCATTTCGCATCAGCTGACCAATAGAAGGTTATGCGTTAAATTAGGTACGTAAAGAACATCATGAATAAGTTTTTTCGTACCTCCCTTGGTGTTGAAGGAAATAGTTCCCTTTCCTTGAACACTTCACATTTTTCCGTCGCCAAGTTTCACTTGAAAGTTAGCGTCAAGCTGCTCAAAATGGTTTCTGTTCCCAGTCATATGGTTGCTACAACCACTATCGAGATACCAAACCTCTAACGACTCATGTTCTTTTTTAAGGCACATACAAAAGACTTTTTCATCACTCTATTCTTCGATAAAATTTGCCTCTCTAGAGTTCTTCTTTTGAAACCAACAATCCCTGTGTGAATGATTAGGAATTTTACACCTCTCGCACTTGAATCGACAATCTCTTGAGTTATGATTCGTTTTGTTGCAAATAATGCAGAAAGGTCCATCCCCTGACCTTTGCGGCTGCTCTTTGAACTTCTCCTTTGCTAGTTCATTTCCCTGTCGTCCTCGTCCAAATTGATTCTTGTGAAACGAGTACTTTCTTTGTTGTGATGTGTTACCTGATTTTTGAGAAATTACGACTTTTGATTGAAAAGCTTGCTCGACGGGTTGATTTGACAACCAATTAATCCTTTGTTCGTGGGCTTGCAACGAACTCATTAATTCATGCATTGTCGTCCTTGACAGATCTTTCGACTCTTCGATGGCTGCTACACAATGGTCGAATCTGGCTGGTAGACTTCTAAGAATCTTCTCGATTACTTTCTTATCTTGGATGGTGTCGCCAAGGCTTTCAATATGATCCACAATTTCGGAAACTCGTGTGAAAAAATCTGTATTTTTTTCACTTTCATCGATAAGTTATCGAAATTTCTCCATAAAGATTGCAGTCTTATGGAGACGACTTTTTCATTTCCTCGAAACTCTTTCCGCAAGACACTCCAAGCATCTTTTGCTTTTCTTTTGTTGAAGATGCGAGGGTAGATTGATTTGCTCACTCCTTGGTTAATGTATCGAAGTGTCGTGCAATCTTTCTTTTGATTTTCTTTGTACTCCTTCTCTTTTGAAAAAAATCCCTCATGTTCGCTACTCCAATAATTGTAATGTTCTCCCTTAAAGATTGGTACTTCACTTGAGGAATATTTGAACATAATGGTGACTGAATTTCCAGCCATTTCTTTTTAAAGTTGATAGGAACCACAAAGTGGCTCTGATGCCAAATTTGTTGGCACAACGGAAGATCGTTAAATGGATTTGCCCTTTGATATGGAAGAATATTGTTGATAAAGAAGGCAAAAAAATGAACAAAAAGAATGGATTTTTTAAGGGACAATTATGCTACTCCTCTTTAATGGTTTTTCTTGATATTCCAGATACTAATATATGGAGTATTTAAAAAGCAAGATAAGTCTCCAGAGAATTCTCCACATTAATGATGGAAGATGAAATGTACTTAATTTTCTAGATTATTTTAAAATATTAATTTTTGAAATTAAAAATTAACCTTTAACAAATTTTGGGCGACATTTAAACATGTCTATATCTTGATAACGAATTTTACAATACCAAAATTTGGATAAGAGATTTGGTACCAAATTAAACCCACCCCTAAAGAGTCTTATGAGTCTTGAGAAGAATCCCACAATAATGAAAGACTTGTAAGGGAGTTGTATATATATAGGACAAGTTTGTCTAGTTTTACATGGAAACTACAAGCATAATAATCATGCTTATACTAGGATTTCTGGAAACACTAATTAAAATCTGAAATGATTTACGCGGCAGTAAAATTACGAATGTCGTTCACAATTGCATTTCCTTTCTCTCTCTAAAACCTACCCAATTCACTCAAACCCCAAAACCACCAAAAACCCCCAAATTTCACAAAAATCCTAAATTCTTCTCACAATCCTTCCAAATCCGAAATTCGTATCAATTAGACAGGTAATTACTCATCTAAAGTACTTATATGTATCGAATTTGTTGTTAATCCTATGAAATTTGAATGAAAATCGCGATTTTGGGGTGAGTTGGGGGAGAAAATCCGTCTGTTCCAGGCCAAA